TGGGGGCCCCCAGGAGACACAGCATATATGAATGGCTGCAACATTTCAAGTCTGAGCAAGAGGGGGGCCCTTACAGGGGCCCCCGCTTTATCTATCTACAGAACAAACTGTGTGTCAATTAGGGTACTGGGGGCCCACGGGGGCCCCCAGAAGCCTCAGGGCCGGAAAGCCGTGGGGGCCCTCCGACTTCATCATATTCCTAAACATAAGACGGGGCCCCTTGGGGGCCTGGGGGCCCCCCGCGGCCGGGGGGCCCCTCGGGGCCTGGGGGGCCCCCGGGGCCCCTGGGGGCCCCTGCTGTCCACAGGGGCCCCTGTCTGCTGGTTTGGGGGAGGCGGCGAAGACTGGAGGCAGCTTGGGGGGCCCCCCATTGGGTCCGGCGCAGCAATTGCCACATAAGCCAGAAGGGGCCTCTGGGGGCCTCTGGGGGCCTCTGGGGGCCCCTGTGACGCACATTGAGGGGGCCCCTGGGGGGCCCCCTCTGGGGGGCCCCTGGGGGGCCCCCCAGAGGGTACTAATTGAAACGGCTCTGCGATACGGCGGCGCTCTGCCAGGCCGGGGGCGCCCCTAAGAGAATGCTTTGGGGGCTTGCGACCCCCAGCCCCGGAGGCCCCTGAGTTGCTGCTGCTGCTGCTGCTGCTGCTGCTGCAGCAAGTGCCTCCACATTAGGTGCAGCAGCAGACTTCAACGCTGTCCCTGCTGGTGGGCCCACGCGAAGGGCCCCTCGGAATGCTGGAGGGTACTGGGGGCCCCCCAAGGGGGCCCCCTCGGAGCCCGGCGATGCCACAAGTGCAGCCATTTCCATATTGATGCTGGGGGCCCTCTCCGCTGCTGCTGCAGCACGCAGCAGCAACTGCTGCTGCTGCTGCTGCTGCTGCTGCTGCTGCTGAAATCCTGCGAAGGACGGCCACCGGGGGCCCCTCCGCTGCTGCGCAGCAGCAACTGCTCCCTGTGGGGCCCTGGGGGGCCCCCTATGCCCTCGCTGCCTTCGAAGGCCTCTCGGAAAGTGCCGCTGCTGCTGCTGCTGCGGCTGGGGGTGCG